AGTTCATCCATAATCATAACTAATGTTTTTGTATTATGATCAATACCATTTCCAAATTTTATTTGATGAAATGTACAAATAGTTTCAGGACATTCATATTTATTTACATCGAATGTATGAATATCACAGTTAATTAACGAATTTTTTAAATCATACTCGAAACTAAAGTCATTATTTGAACCAAAAATGTATACTAAACAATTTTGTTTATTTTCTAGACGATGTACATCACATATCCATTTTCCACCATCACCAATATTACCAAAACGACGTTCAAATGAACAATGAAATGTTGGCTCATAATTTATAAAAAAAAAATGTTTATTTTGTATTCTCAAATGATTTCGTTGCTGTTGAATGAGATGTACTTGTTTTCGTCGATTCCATAATGCATCGGGTTCACAAAAAAAATAATTACTTTCTAACATTGACGAACGACAATCTTTTATCTTCTTCTTCATAGAATAATTAAATGTTTTTGAATATGTACATGTTGTTACAACAGGTTTTTCATCCGATGTAAAATCGATGTTAAAAATTTTATAAAAAATAAATAGAATACAGAATAGAATCAATAGAAAAATCCAGTATAAAAAACGAAATTTGGAATTTCTAATAATAGTCATCTTAAAAACAAGAAAATGATCGTTACTCGTTTTCTAAAACATTTTTTTCCTGTCAGAAAGACAGAAAAAATTGTTTAATTCTTTGTAAAAATAAAAAATACTCATCACAAATACTCATGAATTCTATCATAAAAAAACTGAAAAATTAGCACATTAAGAAGAAAATTCTTTGAGTCACATCGTTTTTAATAAAAAAATAAGAGAAAAAAAAATCAAAATGATGAGATGAAACGGAAAAGGAAATCCTTGTTTTATATAAATAAAAAGTAATTTTTTTTTGTAAAAGAAAAAGAAAATTTGTATCTTTTATGCGGAAGAAAGATGAATGGATACACTATCTCCAAAAACATTATAGCTCCTATATAAGGTAGAATCGTGTAAGTGATCGTGTAAGTTCATTTAAATAGAATAACAGCCTCTATTTGTAATAAAACTTGGGAACAAAGATTTAATTCTGCAGTGAAGCGACACATCAAATGCATAAATTAGCATAGGATCCCTCACATATTTCATATATTTGTAAAAAGAAAAATACAGGGAAATCAACAAACAGATAGAAAAACAAAGATGAAGAAAATTTTGGTAGAATAGAGCAAAATTGTTCTCAGATTTCATGTTTATGCATACGACATCTGATTTCGGCAGACAACAATATCTACCGGAATGATCAACTGTTCCCTAGTAAACCAAGTTCTTGGTTTTTGGTCAGAAAATTTTGCAAACCATATAGTCTGATAGAGCAAAGAATTCTGAGAAAAACAAGATATCTTCCAGCTATCTATAACACTTTTTCATCGGAATGTTTAGGTGATTTTCACTAGTGGTCAAGTTTTCCACAAAAACCCTAACATCAACTTTTCTCATGAAAGGGCGATATGCGCCTCATTTGATAGAAAAATCTTCGGGTTATTCAAAACAGTATTTAGATTGGTTCCAACTTTTACTGAAAAATAAAAAACAAAGGAGCTCTTGTGATTATGACACACTGTATTGCATAGATAACACCCAAACGCTTCTTTTCCATATCTTTGATTACTGGTCCCACCTATCTGGATATTGTGACCACCTCACTTTGTAGAGAATTTCAAGGGCTATCCAATGGTATGTTTTTGAAAATATATAATTTTTCATTATGGCAGGAAAATGACTAAAGGTGTGTTAAAGCATTAAGATAGATGAAAATGATGATATCGACCAAGTATTTCAACTATTGACCCATATGGGAATATTTTTGAAAGACCTATTTATAGCTTCATTTCGAAGCCCGAAAAATTCTCTATCTTTCTATATATAAGACATTCTGGTTCTGAGTAGATGAGTTCAAGAAATATTCCTTTAAAGTGTTAAGATAGGTGAAAATGATGATATCTGTCTAGTATTTCAACAATTGTCCTATATGGGCATATTTTTCTCGTTTACAGCTTATTTTGAAGCTCAGAAAATTCTCTATATTGCTATGTATGAGCGTTGCTTAAGGACTTTGAAATCGGAAGAGAAATTTGCGGAAAAAGGTAAATGGCTTCTGTTGAACTGGTGGCGAAAAATGAGAAGGAATTTTTTTTCAAAGACACCAGAAAGAATTTTTGAAAGTGGGAAGTGAAAAGGGAAGCATTTCCGATCATTTTCACTCAAAGGCATATTGGGTCATTTTCTAGCAGAAACCGTCTCCCGTCCTTTGCGCGTATACCATTTTAAGACAACAAAAGAGAAACGGCGGAGAGCCTTATTGAGATTCTCCTTCGTGTTCCTATGATACTTTTATCATGCTCTCTTGAATGCGACGCGAAAGCATTCGCATTCTAGTAATCACTCGCATCTTTTTTTACCCTATCTCGCAGCTACTAGTGCCAAGTCAAAGTTTTAGTAAAATGACATTTGAAAAATGCACAAAACTCAAATTTTATAAGGGCTACTTCTCTATTAATGCTTCATCTGACCAATGTCGCTCCTTCGAACTTTTTGTTTGCTGTACTGCGTAGATGTGCCCTTCCAACAGAAGAGAAATTGTACGAGTAAGCATTCGGGACATATACCACAAATACAGATTTTTTCCACTATATTTCATAGTTTGTTTGTACTCTTACTCATACGTGCACAAAACAGTAATTAAACGATCATCGACTATGCCATTGATATTGTTAGAAGGAATGAATCATAATTCTCCTAGTACTGTTGTGTGAAGCGCGAATGTGTACACTACAGTGAATATAGGTCCGCAATGTTTGTTTGCAGTCTATACACTGTGAAATTATAAAATATTATTCATTTATTATGCCATCTAAATACGGTCGTCAAACGTTATTGAATACTAATTATCAAAAAAAAATAAAGAAAAACGTGTCCAGTGTCTGCATCGTTCTTAAAAACAGCAAGGAAAACTAGTTTGCAAATAAATAGTAGAGTTGTTCTTTCGAAAACGTACCACGTTCATATCGACTTTATCCCAACAGTTCGAAAGTAACAGCACTAGCACAACTCGAGCTCCTGATGACACGTTAGATATACGTGACATATTTAATATCATGTTTAAAACATTTTAAAACAACGGCATCCAGACATGTGGAGATCCCATTTCCTAGCAAAACAGACGTTTCTTGGACATTTTCATCATTTTTTAGCGAAGCACTTTCGCGAGCTGGTACCGTCAGATTAGAATCTATATGTGCAGCGCTGCAAAATTCCTAACGGAGAAAAAGTTTCAAAATGCTAAGCATATTCTCGGAAGAATTTTTTAAAAAGTCGTTTTTTTCCAGAAAGTAGGCTTTTTTTGTAAACCATATTTTCCCCAGAAAATCGTGTCAATACACGACAACAAGATACGCATTCGACGCATTTTTTCAAGCTCTATCTGATGAAGTGGTTCTCATTGAGATTAAAAAGCATCTAATGATAGAACGAAACAACTTTTAAAGGCGATCTTCGTGGGGTTTGAATGGTTTGTGTGGGGGGGGGCGCCTTGGAGGGGGGTAGGGGCG